TCTTTTTGTCTTTTATATTTTGTCCTACTTCCTTTCGAAGAGAATGGGCTGCCTTTCTGGGTGCCTGGTTCCTCCGCCAGCGTTCAGAAGTTGTTTTGTGGAAGTTGCTGAGCATTCAAATGATCTTTTGATGAATTTGTGGGGGAGAAAGTGGTCTCCCTGTCCTATTCCTCTGCTATCTTAGGACTGCCTCCTCCTCTTTTTGATTCTTCTATTTCATCAGTTTTCAGTCCCCATCTCTTTAGGATGAGTCTCCATGGGTGGTTTCCAGACTTGAGCTCCAATGGACCAAATAAAAATGTTTCTTTTATTAAAAAAAAGAAGCAACCTTTTTGAGGGTTTCTGGAAATGTTTGTTTTCCTGACTTGGATGTTTCCCCTTCATTTTTTCTTCTTCTTTCATGTTTCTGTCCAAAACATGACTGTGAGATCTGTAGGTGCTGCAGCCACCTTGTACTAAGAGGGGACAGCTTAAGGACTAATGCCAACATGCAGGGAATGGTGAGACAGGGAGGGAGAGTGAGGCTTGGCCTCCAGTAGTTGAACAGCTTCTCCAGCCCTGGACTGCCCAGACTCAGATACTGTGATATGTGAGAACCATAAACACTTGTTTTTAAAGTCCCTTTAATTAGGTTTCCATTTCAGGCAAGTGAATTTCTTACTGATATGCCCAGAGAGCTTGGGGTTGGTATGGAAAGTTTTTACCCTGTCACACACACACACACACACACACACACACACACACACACACACACGTGTGTGTGTATGCACTCATTCGTGTCTGACTCTTTGTGACCCAAGGACTGAGGTCCTCCAGGCTCCTCTGTCCATGGAATTTTCCAGGCAAGAATACTGAAGCAGTTTGCTATTTCCTACTCCAGGGGATTGTCTGGACCCAGGGATCAAACCTACATCTCTTGCGTCTCCTGCATTGGCAGACAGATTTTTTTTTTTTTAATCACTGCTCCACCTACACAATCTTCCTGAATTAGGGGCTCTCACAGAGAATAAGATGGACAGGAAGGCAGGAGGCTGTGATTTTTCTCCCCTGCCTGTAGCAGAAGAGGAGACCTGGTTCCATACAGTGGTCTTCAGAGCAGGCTGTCTGGAGGGGCAAGGCCAGGGCTGTGTGGTGCCCTGCTTGGTTTTGAAAGGCGTATTCCCTCTTTGGAGGTCAGAGGCGCTTGAACCGGAGCTGGGAGAGAAGGGAACTGGGCTTCCCACGGCTGCGGGGCCCTCTGGCTGCTTGTTCAAGGCAGCGTCTCTGCTGTCCCAGCCCCAGCCCTGCGTTGCCATGGTAACAGTCTTGACCTCCTGGCATTCTCAGTGCCTTTTCTTGAAAGGGCCTCTGTGCTTTATTTATCAATCTCACCCCTTGTCACGGCCTCCTTACTGAGCTCAGGGACACCTTGGTCCCAGCTCTGACCTCAGCACCTGCAGGAGGGGCCGGTAATCCCACCTGCTGAGGACAAAACAGACAAACACAAAGGCCGGGCTCTGCTCCAGGGTGGCGTCTGCCGCCTGCGAGAAGGGGATGGAGGTGGCTCCGGCCCCAGCCCCCATGGTGCCCTTCGGCTGCCCCTGAAAATTGCTCCAGGTCACAGAAGACATGGGCCAGCACGCCTCTCCACAACTGGGACTGTTGCCTGGGGTGGCTCTGCAGTTAGAGTTACACTGTCAATGTTCAAAAGAAGACCCAGATGCGCTGTGAACAAATTGCAAGAGGCACACCGAAACATATAAATTACCATTTGTAAAATAGACAGCCAGTGGGGATTTGCTGTGTGATACAGGCAGCTCAATCCCAGTGCTCTGTGACAACCTAGAGGGGTGGGATGGGGAGGGAGACTGGAGGGAGAGGACATATATATACCTGTGGCTGATTGATATATGGCAGAAACTAGCACAGTATTGTAAAGCGATCATCCTCCAATTAGAAATAAAAATTAAAAAATAGTCTTCTCAAAGTGGAAAGAAGTTTGTTTTCTTCTCCTAGAAGTGCAGGGTGGACACAGTGGGGCTGGAGGGGCTGGTCAGCAATACCAGTCTCCCCAGCCCTGCCAGCTCATCGTGGGCTTCCGTTCTTCAGGTCACATCACGGTTCAGAGGGCCTCCAGACCTTCAGCATCCCATGCGCATTCCAGGGAGAGGAAAGGGCAAAGCAGCCTCCCTGTCCATCTGCCTGTCCCATACAGAGCCTCAGAAAGCCTCTCAGCGCACTCAAGTCTCACTCCTCGATCTGAGTCTCACAGCCCTACCACACCACAGGCACTCATGGGATGAGCCTTGTGGGTCCTGATGAGGTAGGGGTTTGCCAGTTTCTGGGTATTGAGTAATGACTGTCTCTCTCTTAGATGGCAAAGGGGTATGTGGGAAAGACTCCATAGACCTTCTCCCAACAGGACTGAGTGCCTTTTGTGTGTGCACATCCATTGCTGAGCCTTACCTGTCAGGCTTACCTGTTTCCACCTAGAAAGTGAGAGGCAGTGGAAGCCGCAAGTGCAGACTGTGAGGTATGAACTTACCCTGAATGGCAGATGGAGCATCAGAGATGGTCCCCTCTGTAAAGGGCCTAAATGCCACTACTCTTCAGCAGCTAAATGTCCATGCTCAGCATCAGGGGCTGAGACATGCTCAGTGACCTGAATGAAGAATCAACAGAGCCCACTCACCAGACCAACACCAACATCCAAAACTGTTGGTTCACTCTGTCTGTTACCAAGCTGACAACAAATTAAAGGGTACAGTCTGTACTAGAATTCTGTGTCCCCCAGGAAGCAGACACAGAGAGCCTTGAAGGACAAGGCAACCCCACTGTTGAGGATGGCCAAGAATGGAAAACAATTCTCTAGGTTGGCAGCCTCTGCCTGGGCCTGCCTCTCAGCCAAAGAGACTGCCTCTGGCATAGGATGTTTAGGCTGGAGGGGACTTAAAGATGCTATGGCCCACTCCCTTCACCTGAAGTCAAGAAGCTTAGGCCTGCTTAGGCCACATGAGTGGCTAAGGCTTCTGGACCAGAGGTGGCAGGGCAAGAACTGCATCCTTGGCAGGCCTGTGTGTCTCTGGGGCTGATCTCTGGCTGGGTTTTGGTCTCAAGGCCAGACAAGTGTCTGACCCATGCCACTAGCAAGGTAACAATCATTTCTCTGAGAAGCAATTCCTGGAAGAAGCAGGAAAAGCGAAGACTACTGATGAGGCCTGCCAGACAGTGGTACCTAAATGCTAAGTGTGCATGGTTAATTTTACTTCCTTGCTGGCAGGTTGTGCACTCCATGAGGTGCCCGAGTCATCGCTTCCAAAGGAGCTCAGAGCAGGGCTGGAATCCTCGGGGCTCCCAGGACTTGTGTGCCTGAGTGTTGCTTTGGGACCCATCCTCCAGGAGAGGATTGGCATGTGGAGGGCACAGCCCAGCAAGCACTCCTGGGGCCACACCTGAGTGGTCACAGGCTACTAGATGGCTGCACCTGCAAGAGGTTTAATTACTCCACCAGGACCTTGACTGGGCTGCCGGTAGGAGCAGTCAGCTGTGGATTGCCTCAGCTTTTTCTTGCTACATAGGATTTTACAAATTGATGAGAAAAGAAATGCCCCCATGTATATAGTGACCCAGGGCTTCCCAGCTGGTTCAGTGGTAAGGAATCCTCATACCAATGTTGGAGCTGCAGGAGATGCAGGTTCGATCCCTGGCTCAGGAAGATCCCCTGGAGGAGGAAATGGCAGCCCACTCCAGTGTTCTTGCTTGGGAAATNGACCCAGGAAGAGTTGAAGTTCAAGTCCAAAGGCCATCTGCCGGTGGAATTCTCTCTTCAGTGGGAGACCCATCATTTTCTTAAGATTCAACTGATTAGAGAGGGCCTGCCCACACTACGGAAGGCAATCTGCTTTACTCAAAGTCCACCAATTGAAATGTAAACTTTACCCCCCAAAAAGTTATTTAACAGAAATATCCAGAATAATGTCTGACCAAACAACTGGGCACTGTGGCCCAGTCACATTGACATGTAAACTCAGTCACCACAGAAAGCAGATTTGCAAGGCAGGACAGTGTGGGCATGTGTGGGGAGAGAGAGTGTTCTATGCATGGGGTGAGGGGACCAGGCCTGCAAGGGAGGAGAGGGTGGCGGGTGTGCCTTTTGAGGCAAGGTTTAGGAAGTGTGTGCCTTTTGAAGCAAGGCTTAGGAAGCAGGGCAACAGGAGAGGATGATTGGTGCTGGTGCAGGATAGGCTAGGGGGAGGGTGTGGGAGGGGTTTGAGGAAGAAAGTCATGAGAGGTGGAGGTGGTGGTAAAGAGACAACTTGCAGGGAGACTACCAGTGCACTAGCTTTTACTGAACAGTGCTCTGGTGTTAGGCAGTTCTCCTTCCCTAAGGGACGTCAGAAGCAGCCTTGAGATTTTTCCATGTCTTCCCACAGCATCACAAGCTCTCAGTCTGAAACTTCACGTGCACATAGCTTCTTGTCTTGGTGCCAGGCATGGCCATGCTTCTCTTGAACAAGCCTTGGGTCATCGTGACTAGTGACACTGAGTAGTGCTTCCTCTTTAAGTCAGTTTGTTGAGCTTGAAGCCATACTTGGAAACAGAGTTTATTGCAGGGTATCACGGCACACATTTTGTGTTGTATTTTGGTTTTATCTTAATCCTCTTGTTCTCATTTTCTTTCCCTCCTTAACTCATTTACTTAAATCTTATTTTGATGAAGCCTGGCATGCTGCAGTCTGTGAAGTTACAAAGAGTCAGACATGACTGAGCGACTGAACAGCAACTTCTTCAAGTTACTGCAAATCCTCTTTGGAATAACGTGAAGCACTGATAGATTAGCCATAGATTAAGAACCAATTGGACTGGAAAATGGATGGGACCCACTCTGGGGTCCAGAATGATTCTAAGCCTTCACTAGAGAAAGGAAAACTGGTCTCTGGCCCTTCTGGAAATGACTCTGAAAATGCGTCATTAAGAGAGAGTGAGCTCTGCCAGATCCTGCCAATCCCAGCTGCCCAAATAATGCCTGCTTCTGGGCTCTGGGCTTTGGAACAATGAGAATCAACCGTGGGTTGGTGTCCACTTGAAGCAACTCGTCTGCAGTGAGTTGTGCCAAGAACTGATCTGCCCCTGCACACTATGATCCTGGTGCCAGGTCCTAATGTGAATGCAAACCTTCATCTCTATGTAGCACCTAGGACTCTTCTGCCCTGGATCTCCATGGAGCCCTAGCCCTCTGGAGGGGTTCCTGTCACCCCCATTTCCCCTGAACTGGGCTTTGCTTCTGGAGTTTTTCACTTCATCCCAGATAATTCTCCCTGGTTTAGGATCTGAATGGACTGAATGTTGATCAGTTAGATCACAGACCTTCCTGGTTAGGAATCCAGGTCTGAATTAGACCTGAGTCTTCTGTGTTGGCATTAATCTCTTTTGAGAGTGCCCACTCTCTTTGAGGAAGACCCCTGTTTCAGCTGACCCATCTTCCAAGCCCTCAAGCCATGCTTGCCCCGAAAGGGCCCTTTTTCATCCAAAGGTGAGCTTACCGAATGTGTTGTAATCAGGTCCATGCTGGCAGTCACCAGTGTGAGCCCCACAGGGGTTGTAATAAGGTCCACACTGGGAGTCACCAGTGTGAGCCCCACAGGGCCTGTAATCAGGTCCACTCTGGGTGTCACCAGTGTGAGCCCCACAGGGGTGGTAATCAGGTCCACACTGGGTGTCACTAGTGTGAGCCCCACAGGGGGCTGTAATCAGGTCCACTCTGGGTGTCACCAGTGTGAGCCCCACAGGGCCTGTAATCAGGTCCACACTGGGAGTCACCAGTGTGAGCCCCACAGTGCCTGTAATCAGGTCCACACTGGGAGTCACCAGTGTGATCCCCACAGGGGTTGTAATCAGGTCCACACTGGGAGTCACCAGTGTGATCCCCACAGGGGTTGTAATCAGGTCCACACTGGGAGTCACCAGTGTGAGCCCCACAGGGGTTGTAATCAGGTCCACACTGGGAGTCACCAGTGTGATCCCCACAGGCGTTGTAATCAGGTCCACACTGGGGGTCACCAGTGTGAGCCCCACAGGGGTTGCAATCAGGTCAAGCTGGGTGTCCCCAGTGTGAGCTCCACAGGGGTGGTAATCAGGTCCACTCTGGGTGTCACCAGTGTGAGCTCCACAGGGGATCACATCAAGCATGTGGCAGTCAGTCAGGAAGTAGGAAGCTGCTGCAAGTGGGGACGGTGAGTAGTGTTGATTCAGGAGAGATCCTCGTGGAAGGAAGTAACTGTCGGCATGAGCAGGAATTAAATCAGTCAGAGAATGAAACTTGGTGACAAGAGAAGGACAAGGAGATCACTTCAGGGCAATGACGAGGTCAGGAGAAGGAAGGAGGTCATAAAGTAACCTTGGGTGGCAGGATGGAGAATAGCCACGGAGCACCAAAGGGAATGGGGGGGTACAGGAAACTGGGAGAGGAGACAATTTCTCAAAGGAGAAGCAGTGAACAGTGACAAATGCTGCAGAGACAGCAGAGAGGAGAGGGAGTGGGAGGAGGGTGCGGAGGAGAAGAAGGGGAGGAGTGGGAAGGATGTGGGGGAGGGGGGAGAAGGAGGGGGAGGCACAGTGGCACGGTGACCATAGGTTGCTAGTTAGTTTCACTGGTACAATTGAATCATGGCCAAAAGTCTGACTGAACAGATTAAGACATAAGGAAATGGTGAGAAAATAGATTTGCAGAAAGCCTACATTTTAAGAAATGCTTTGAAGGGATAAACAAAGAGAACTGTGTGTAGGGAGGAGGGTGCTATAAAGTACAGTGTCATGAAGACCTTGTTAGTGGTGTGTTTAATGGCCATCTGACCCTTAGCCAGTCACGAAGCCCACATTTCCACGTTCCTCTTTTGGGGGAGAAAGGAAGAAAAGCAGTATTTCTTCCTCTAGTAAGCCAACATGGACATCTCTCACAATACAAACTCTTCTGGTCAAAGGCATGAATCTTAATATCCTTGAATGCTCTGCAAGGAGACCCAGGACAGATCTGTGACTCTTTGTAAATATGTAGCTACAAGCTCTCAGCAGCACCAGTTATGTGGTTGAGAGACATAGTCTTTTTTTCTGGAATTTCTCATCCAGAACCTGGATATAATATATTTAATATTTTCTATATTTTACATTGAGTATATCTGTGTGGATGAAAGAATAGAATATTGGTTCATGATAGTAGAGATGGCATTATGGAATTAGAAACGAGTAGTTTTTGAATGACTATACCAGGAGAGAATCTGACAATTTAAATTCCTACCGGAAAACATATGGAGTTTTATCCACTTGAGAGTCAATTACTTTTAGAGTGACAGTGATTAGCTGTGGAAGTCTCATCTGAATACCAAGCCTTGACTGTCTCTAATCCTTGGAGAAGTAAGTCACATTTAAACTGGATTTTGATGCCTATAAATGGTCTGTCTCATGGTCACTGATCAAATTGCAAAACAAACAATTTTGAAAGTATTAGCAATTTTTTCACATTTGGGGGTTACTTTATCAAAAAGATAGATGTGGTATTTTTTTTAAGTTGAGAAATTAAAACCTTATTTTTCTCCATTGGCTTCTGATAGCTGTGTGCTTTGGGGCCAAACTCTTAGTGTTCAAAGCTCCTCCAGACCTGGCCTTGCCTTTGACTTTGTGACCTCACACCTGGTGGACACACATGTTGCCTCATGTAGGCTATTCTGTTTGCAGCCAGGTCCAGCTTGGTCTTGTGTCTTGATCTCTGTTGGGTTCCTCTGACCATCTTCACATTCAAGACAAGCAGACTGCTCCCCAGTGACCTAA